TTCCACACCTGTAGTCTACCCACCCACGGAGTGTGATTCAGCCTTCCACACCACAGTCTACCCATCCCACGGAGCATGATTCAGCCTTCCACACCTGTAGTCTACCCACCCACGGGGCATGATTCAGCCTTCCACACCACAGTCTACTCATCCCACGGAGTATGATTCAGCCTTCCACACCACAGTCTACCCATCCCATGGAGTGTGATTCAGCCTTCCACACCTGTAGTCTACCCACCCACGGAGTGTGATTCAGCCTTCGACACCACAGTCTACCCATCCCACGGAGCGTGATTCAACCTTCCACACCACAGTCTGCCCATCCCACGGAGTGTGATTCAACCTTCCACACCACAGTCTGCCCATCCCACGGAGCGTGGTTCAGCCTTCCAAAGGAAGGAATTCTGTTACAGGCTACAGCATGGGTGAACTCTCAAGACACGATGCTGAGTACAACAGACAGAAAAGGACAAATACTATATGATTCAACTTACTTAGGTGGCTTGAGAAGTGCATTCCCATCCGCAGAGACAGACAGTACAGTGGTGGGTGCCAGGGGCTGGGGGAGGGGGAATGGGGAGTTAGCATTTCACAGGAGCAGAGTTTCTGTCTGAGAAGATGAAAATGTTCTGGAGATGGATGCTGGTGATGGCCACACAAAAATGTGAACATGCTTCATGCCATGGAACTGTACACTTAAAAATGGGTAAAATGGGAACTGTTATGTATATTTTAACATAATTTTTAGAACATGTTTTTAAGTATATAGAAATGTTGACTGGGTGCAGTGGCTCACACCTATAATCCCAGCACTTTGGGAGGCTGAGGCGGGGGATAACCTGAGGTCAGGAGTTCGAGACCAGCCTGGTCAACATGGTGAAACCCCATCACTACTAAATACAAAAAATTAGCCGGGCGTGGTGGCACGTGCCTGTAATCCCAGCTACTCGGGAGGCTGAGGGAGGAGAATTGCTTGAACCCGGGAGTCAGAGGTTGTAATGAGCTGAGATTGTGCCACTGCACTATAGCCTGGGCAATAAAGCAGGACTCCATCTCAAAAAAAAAAAAAGAAAAAAGAAAGGAAAGAAATGTAATAACTGAGTTGCAGTTTCCAGGAACTTCCTTGTATTCTGAAATCTAAAATCATTGGTTTTTGAGACTCGTCCCCTAGAATATGTTTAAAGAACAAAATCAACTCCCCGTAGCAAGAAAATAATTTAGGAAATCTGTTTGTTTAAAAGCAGACAAAGGGGCAAAAAGATAAACATCCAAAGAGGCCACAATCGAACAGAAGCAATGAAAAATGCAAATATATCAGAAAAGCAAATGCAAATGAAAAACATTCCAGCAGAAAAGTTAACAGAACTAATGATCAGAGACAAACACTTTAATTTCAGTAACAGTAGGGAAAAATAACAGCATTCATGCATTAAAACTAAGAGCCTTCACAAAGACGTCTCAAGATGTATTTTGAACAACAGAGGACAGGCTCTTGGGAGACCTCTGGGTCCTGCCTCAGAACATCGAGTCCTCAAATCCGAGTGAGGAAAGTCTGGGGAGCTGCATTGTGGAGCCATCAGAAAGTACCTGGAGCGGCTGCTGCTGGGCTGGAAAAGCCGCGGAAGTCCTCGGGGGAAGCTGGGTTGCTATGGCAACAGGAGTGCCAGGCTGCCCGTGGTTCTGGCCACAACCTTTACCTGAGAGGGAATATTCAAAGGGAAGAGAGGAAGAAGGGAAAATAATGTTTAAACTTTGCAAAGTTGATCACCACCAGCACATCCCATGCAGCTGGCAGCCTCAGCCACTAATAGAGGGGCACGGGGACAACTTGGCTCTCTGATTGCAATTTAAGACCTCACGGGGCTGGAAAGAACAAATCTGGCCCTAGGCACTGAAGCTTTGTTTGAAGTCCAGTTTAAACCTCAATCTGTGGCCAACAGGTAGCCACGGTCAGGCTGCACAGGCCGCGTCCACACAGCTTCACGCAGGAGCCCAGTGTCAGTGTCAGAGGGCGGCCCACCCCTCATGGCAGGGGCTGCAGATGCCTGGGGAGGCCATGGTGGGGCATGAGGAAGAATGACAAAAAACACTCCCACTGAAAATGTGTCATTTCTTAAAAACACACTTTGATCTGATAAAACAGAAAGACAAATTAATCTGCATCTCCATAATGACAGCTTCTTAGGAGTAAGTAAACCAAAGAATCTTTCCAGAGACATTAACTGCTTCACATCCAGGGTATTCAAATGGGAATACCCTTGAAATTAAATGAACTCAAAGTCAAACGGCACTTTACAGCTTAAAATCACAGAGAGAAATACAAGAAAACAGAAACTGGTTCTTACTTCTGGCTGACAGGTCTAAAAAAAAAAAGGAAAAGAAAAAGAAACTGGTTTTTCTGGCTAAATATGTCCAGAAGGCTAAATATAAACAAGCACATATCATCATAAATAATCAAAACCAAACCTTAATATTTGTCAGTACCCTGGAATAAATTAACACTTTAAATAAATCAGATAGACAGTAAATCTTATGTTCTGTATAAGTTACCACAATTAAGTGGGTTTTTTTGTTTGTTTGTTTTTTGGTTGTTTTTTTTTTGAGACAAAGTCTCGCTCTGTTGCCCAGGCTGGAGTGCAGTGGCACGATCTTGGCTCACTGCAAGCTCCGCCTCCCTAGTTCACGCCATTCTCCTGCCTCAGCCTCCCGAGTAGCTGGGACTACAGGCGCCTGCCACCGCGCCTGGCTAATTTTTTGTATTTTCAGTAAAGACACAGTTTCACCGTGTTAGCCAGGATGGTCTGGATCTCCTGACCTCGTGATCCGCCCGCCTCAGCCTCCCAAAGTGCTGGGATTGCAGGTGTGAGCCACCGTGCCCGGCCCACAATTAAATGTTTTAAAGAAATCAAATAGTGGCCAGGCATGGTGGCTCACGTCTATAATCTCAACGCTTTGGGAGGCCAAGGCAGGTGGATCATGAGGTCAGGAGTTCGAGAGCAGCTTGACCAACATGGTGAAACCTCGTCTCTACTAAAAATACAAAAATTAGCTGGGCATAGTGTTGCACACCTGTAATCCCAGCTACTCAGGGGGCTGAGGCAGGAGAATCGCTTGAACCCGGGAAGTGGAAGCTGCAGTGAGCCAAGATCGCACCACTGCACTTCAGCCTGGGTTGACAGCTCCATCTCAAAAAAAAAAAAAAAAAGAAATCAGGTAGCTTGATCCTGTAATCAAGCATGCTTGCAGAAAGTGCACAAACATTTCTTACTCTTTCAGGAACCTGCAATATAATCACTGAACAACATGCCTAAAATTGCTTGACACTGGCCACAGGTATCAGCCTTGGAAGGAATTCGGTTCTAGTAGGAGGTATTGAAGCCTATAACCTTGACCCAAAAGAAGAGAACTTGGTTGTGAAAATGGGAATCTGGGCATTTCAGTAGGCGGGGGGTGGGGGAAGGGTTCGGCAGTGCTTGGAGTTGAAGGAGAGTCTGAGCTGTGGGCATCCTCCAGGGACACCAGTGCCTGAGTGTGGCGGCCCTGCCTGAAGATATGTTTGAGATCAAGTCATCCAAAGCTGAAAAGAAAAACCGTTAGTAGAGTTCACTCCTTCTTGGAAGGTAGGGTGTCTTTTAAATACAAGTCTTCTCATACAAATTTAAAACACTGAAATTAAGTATTCTGGAGTAGTTCAATAATAGTATTGAAAGGTTAAAAGGGATATGGAGGCCGGGCGCAGTGGCTCAAGTCTGTAATCCCAGCACTTTGGGAGGCCAAGGCGGGGGGATCACCTGAGGTCAGGAGTTTGAGAACAGCCTGGCCAATATGATGAAACCTCGTCTGTACTAAAAATACAAAAATTAGCCTGGCGTGGTGGCAGCCACCTGTAATCCCAGCTACTCAGGAGGCTGAGGCAGAAGAATTGCTTGAACCCAGGAGTGGGAGGTTGCAGTGAGCCAAGATTGGGCTATTGCACTCCAGCCTGGACAACAAGAGTGAAACTCTGTCTCAAAAAAATAAAAAATAAATAAATAAACAAAAGGGATATGGAGGCACCACTCCCTTGATACTTACAATTTCTAATATATTGACTACAAATACATCACACAAAGGTGTCAACAGGAAGATTCTACTATATTGAGAGGCAAAATTTTAAAAACACTTAAGATATGAAAATAAGGCATTAACATATCAATGTCAGTTTATACACTGACTTCTAGATACTTCTGAAAATTTCCTGAAAACTCAATTTAATGATTTTTAAGGTTTCAAATGTATATAAACATCATTTGTTCAAAGGCTTTAAAAGTGCATTTTTTCACTTGCACCAGTTCCCCAAGTAAAAAACCCATAGGCAAATGTACCTAATTAGTTTAAATAATATTTTATAGCGCTAATGAAGTTTGGTAACGGGGATCATGTTAGTAGAGTCAACCTAAATACACAACAAGCAGCTGGAATGTGAGCGATATTACACAGAGGAAAATAGTCACGAGAAATCAAAATGTTAGTACACTTCCAATATTTTACTATAAAATGATCATAAAACATAAATTCCTAAGATGCTAGTCAGGATCTATAAAAACTTATTTCTACCATTTAGAAGTGAACTTTAATACAACGATTAACTTACTCTTCATGTGACTATCAAAGCTGTTAGACTGCTTATCTTCAGTATTTCTTAACTGAATGCCATAATGACCTTTCTAAGGAGACCTTCAGCTGATCCCACAAGATCTGTAGGCTGCGGTCCCTCAGCTGTGGTGTGCTTTAAGACACTTCCATGAAGATATTCTCCTCAACCTATGAATACCTTATGGGCAAGTTTCCTAGTTTCCAAACATAGTAAATGTTTAAAATAATTGCTTTCTAATTTTGTTGCATTATAGGAAGAGGATAGTTCATATGAAATTAATTTTATAAATTTTATTGAGGATTCCCTTGGGGGTCAATTTACAAATAGTCTCCATGTATACTCTAAAAAAATTATTCTTTGTTGAAAGTTTTTACACACACATACATATACATGTGTGTTATATACTTAAACAGGCTAATTTGTATTGTTAATTTGAATAGTTCACGTTCTACATACTTATAATTATTTTATTTATTTATTGTCTTCCGAGAAAAAAGCTAGTAATTCCTCATACAATCGTGGATTTAAAAACTGCTCCCTGGGAGGCCAAGGTGGATAGATCACAAGGTCAGGAGTTCGAGACCAGCCTGGCCAACAAAGTAAAACCCCGTCTCTACTAAAAATACAAAAAATTAGCCGGGCGTGGTGGCAGATGCCTGTAATCCCAGCTACTTGGGAGGCTGAGGTAGGAGAATTGCTTGAACCAGGGAGGTAGAAGTTGCAGAGATCGTGTCGCTGCACTCCAGCCTGGGCGACAGTGCGAGACTCCATCTCAAAAAAAAAAAAACAAAACACACACACACAAAACACAAAAACTGTTCCCTTGAAACTCTATAGATAGGCCACACATGGTGGCTCACGCCTGTAATCCCAGCACTTTGGGACGCTGAGGTGGGCTGATCACTTGAGGCCAGGAGTTCAAGACCAGCCTGGCCAACATGGTGAAACCCCATCTCTACTGAAAATACAAAACATCAGCCGAGCGTGGTGACACATGCCTGTGATCCCAGCTACTCGGGAGGCTGAGGCATGAGAATTGCTTGAACCCGGGAGGCATAGGTTGCAGTGAGCTGAGATCGCACCACTTGCACTCCAGACTGGGCGACAGAGCGAGACTTTGTCACAAAAAAAAAAAAAAAACAAAGAAAGAAAATGAAATTCTGTACACTTTTGCTCTGTGTATTCTGAGTCTAAGTTAGAGCTGTACTTGTTCAGAAACTCTTGACATTGAGATGTGTGTTCAGGAACCTTGGAACCTTGGCTTTGAGCTCAATCAGCCCTGACTGCAGGTGGCTGGCAAGGGTGGACTCTGGAGGTTCTCACCTTGCACGGCACAACCGTTTAGGAGCAGGCAAATGTGGTGACATTCCAAGAAAGGTGCCAGGACGCTGCCCCCGTGAGCACCTGCCACAGAGGTGCCTGAACCACCACCGGAGAAGGGGGCTGCCAGGGGTTCAGCCAGGTGCCAGGATCCCGGAACCACCCTCTGTAAACGTGGGGAGCCTGTGAGAGACTTTAAACCACTATTCACGGCCACAGTGTGTTTTAAAAGTGAAGTGCCTAGAACGCATGCTCTGAGATGGTAAGCTCTGCATTGCACCTGCACGTCTAAGATGGTAAGCTCTGCGTTGCACCTGCACGTCTAAGATGGTAAGCTCTGCGTTGCACCTGCACGCAGCATAAGCCCTGAGCTCTGCTTCCCGTGACAAGCACCAAAACAGAGAACTGTTACCTCATCATTAATGACTTCAAAGTGCTCCTCCTCCTCCTCTTCAATGTCCAAATCATTCTGCCTAAGATATGCTTGTAATGGTGCATACTGTTTCTTCTTGAAAGCTAAGAAATCCATCATGTTCCCTTGAAAGTGTTGCAAGAAAAACAGTTCAATCAAATACTCCTTGAAGACCTCCTTCAGAGCCTGCATCTCCTGGTAATGATAGTCCAGGCACTGCTTCCTCATCTGCGCCATCTCCAGAGAGGCTGGGGGAATCTCCTCTAACTTCCTGGGAGCCTTCTTCACTCCCGCGTTCCCCACAGACGTGAGTGGGAGGCTGGAAAGGCCTGGGGGCACGGCAGTCCTGGAAGGGCTGGTGGGCGGGGGTGGGGACGTCATCCCAAACCCTGCTGCGCCCCCAGCCCCAGGGAGCAGCACGCCGGGCGTCCTCTCAAAGCCCAGGGGCCGGGACAGCGGCGGCCCCTGCAGCACCTGCTGCTGCTGGACCAGCTGGCCCTGGATGATGCTGCTGATCTGTGGTGGCAAGTTAGCCGTGGTGATGTGGCTTGGGCTGGCCAGGGGCTGCAGGCCAGCCCCACCCGCGGCTGCAGGGCTCTGGGGTCCCAAGTGGTGGATGGTGCCCCCTGACTGTGTGTGGGGCTGGGAGGGTCTCCGCTCTCGGACTGTGATGGGCGTACCCGGGTGCTGGAGCTGAACCTGGGCTCCCTGGGCGATCTGGGTGAGTCCTGACCCATCCTGAAACACAAAGTGTCCGCCACTGGATGAGCTCAAGCTGATCTGCCTCACCAGCACGCTGGCATCCACGAAGCCCCCCGTGGGGCTGCTGCTGCAGAGGCCCAGCCCAGGGCCAGGAGCCCCTGCACGCACATTCTGCAGGGCCTGCCCCGGCCCGGGGCTGGGCTGCGTGGGGCTCTGGGTCTGGACCTGCTGGGATATGGGGATGTGACCTGAAGGTACCATGGAGACCCGTGCTCAAACTGCCATGGCTGAGTGCCAAACTGGAAGCCTGGAGAGGTGGGACTGGGGAGTGGCAGTGGGGCCAGTGTGACTTGTGGGATTCCCTTGAGCCCAGGGCCCATTCCCTGCAGGGCAACATTCATGTTCTGCCCACCCGCAGGGCTCCCTCTCACCATCAGCTGCTGCAGTTGGTGGCTGGGGGATGGCAGCGTGAGGGGCGGGGGTGGCTGGGAGCATGCTGGCTGCTCCTCGCCCGTGCCGGGGCAGGCCCTGGGCCACTGGACGTGGTGCTGGCTGCTCTGGGAGTTGCTGATGCGCTGCATGGCCACGTCTTCAGGAAATGCTCCCTAAACAAACGCAGAAAAGTTAGAGTTGAGTGAGGCGAGCTCCATGCCCAGGCGCCTTTCAGAGCCTGCACAGGTGTCCGGAAAAGGTGGCTCAGGAGGGGCCAATGCAGGCCTAGCAAACCCCAGGCACCAGACTGCTACCCAGGTCAACAAAGGCTCAGATCAGAATATCTGCTCCGTGAGAGATGCTTGGCAAGCTCCCCTGCCTCACAATTTTCTTGAACTGAAGTATTAATACCTGCTTAATCCAACTCTACCGCAAGGGGCTGAAAGTGCTGGCAAGGAAGAGCATGGGAGGGAGGAGAAGGGCGAGAAGCACAGCACAGCAGGGCATCTCCAGCGGGCGGCAGACGGTGGCTCAGGATCACGAAGGTCAGTTCTCTACGCCCCTTACATGATCTCATTTAGTTTTCACAGTCAGGCCGTGGGGTCACTCCTATTGATAGACCATTTCCACAGACAGACACTGAGGCAGCGAGCAATGAGCTCCCTGGGCTGCAGGGTCCAGCCCTACGGGGCTTAGCAGGTGTTCTCCCTGTGTGCGGAGACGAGAGATTGTAATAAATAAAGACACAAGACAAAGAGAAAAGAGAAAACAGCTGGGCCCAGGGGACCACTACCATCAAGGCGCGGAGACCGGTAATGGCACCCAACAGCTAGGTGCACTGATATTTATTGCATACAAGACAAGGGGGGCAGGGTAAGGAGGGTAGATCTTCTAAGTGATTGATAAGGTGAAGCAAGTCACGTGATTACAGGACAGGGGGCCCTTCCCTTTTAGGTAGCCGAAGCAGAGAGAGAAGGCAGCATATGTTAGCGTTTTCTTCTATGCACTTATAAGAAAGATCAAAGACTTTAAGATTTTCACTATTTCTTCTACTGCTATCTACTACAAACTTCAAAGAGGAACCAGGAATACGGGAGGAGCGGACAAGGAGCGTGACCATTGAAGCACAGCACCACAGGGAGGGGGTTAGGCCTCCGGATGACTGCGGGCAGGCCTGGATCATATCCAGCCTCCCACAAGAAGCTGGTGGAGCAGAGTGTTCCCGGACTCCTCCAAGGAAAGGGAAACTCCCTTTTGCGGTCTGCTAAGTAACGGGTGCCTTCCCAGACACTGGCGTTACCGCTTGACCAAGGAGCCCTCAAGCGGCCCTTATGCGGCGTGACAGAAGGCTCACCTCTTGCCTTCTAGGTCACTTCTCACCATGTCCCTTCAGCACCTGACCCTATACCCACCGGTTATTCCTAGGTTATATTAGTAATACGACAGAGTGATATTAAAGGCTAATGATTCATGTTTATACTAATGATTGATAATGTCCATAATCATCTCTATATCTAATTTGTATTATGACTATTCTTATTCTAACTATTTTCTTTATTATGCTGAAACAGTGTCTCCTGCCTCAGCACCTAGGTAATCTTTCGCCCACATCGGGCCAAGCTATGAAGTGGTGGAGCCATCATCCAGCTCCAAGCACACGGGCTCTGAGGCCCATGGGCCTCACTATAGGCCAACACCGTGGACAGGTCCAGAGCCTGCCCCTGAATCTGGAACTTGGACACTGTCAACCCCAGTGCTAAAACATCAGTTCCACGGATTTGATCCTGCATGAAGACTGAACACTTGATTGATGGTTTTCAGCATTTAATCTGTCCTGAAGGACTCAGTGCATACTGCCTGGTAGAAAAACGCAAAGGGAATCTGTTTCAGAAGTAGTCATTCCAGAGACAGGCTGGAAACGCGGGGACAGAATGGACCTGAGGCACTCCAGGTGTGGCCTGACCCTGGCTGGGAGGACAGTCCAGCTCCCACCTTCCTACCATGACGGTAGACCCCAACTGCCACGTGTTTTTTAATGAAGGCCATGTATTATAGGCAAATGCATTTTATGGATGGCTCAGACCTGACGTTTTTGCCATCATCACCAACATAGAAATTCAAGGGAAACATTCAAAAAGCTGCAAAGATACCACCCACTACAGAAGCTGCCTCTCCTAACGCCTGAGGCTCAGGGACGCAGTAGACAGTGTTTACGTGAAAACGGTGCAAGCTCACATCCGGCACGAGGTGTGGCGAGCCAGGCAGGCACGAAGCGACGCCTGCCAGCAAAACCATTTATAAAGAGTGCTTGATAAACACACGGTTTATGTTCGATTTTAAATGGAAAAATTCAAGATCCAAAATTATGTAATTTGAAAGATTTAATAAAAAGACTCAAAATATGCCCACAGGTGATGGTCTCTGGGTTAGGTGGATTATAATGATTTTTTCCCTTTTTATACTTTTTTGTACTTTCTAGATGTTCTATAATTACTATGTGGTATTTTTATATCCACAGGGAAAAAAAGGCATCTTTTTAAAAAGTGTTTTTCCTGGCCAGGCACAGTGGTTCACGCCTGTAATCCCAGCACTTTGGGAGGCCGAGGTGGGCGGATCACGAGGTCAGGAGATCGAGACCATCCTGGCTAACATGGTGCAAAAAACCGACGCCGCGAGGGTGGCGGGTGCCTGTGTCCCCAGCTACTCGGGAGGCTGACGCGCAGGAGACTGCTTGAACTTGCAGTGAGCTGAGATCACGCCACTGCACTCCAGCCTGGCGACAGAGTAAGACTCTGTCTCAAAAGAAAAAAAAAAAACAGTGCTTTTGTTTACTAGTAAACTCTTCTTCCAGGTGTGCAAAGTTTGCACATGAGGGACTGTAATCTAGTAAAATAATAATTAGAAGATGCATAGAAGACACAAGGCAAAAATTTATTTGTACATTATTTCTAACTCAGAACACTTTTTCCTATGGAAATGCAATGACTATAGTCTCTTTCTAAGATAAGGTAGATCAGTGGCTCTGTACCTTGGAAGACTGTGCCCACAGGGGACATCAGGCAATGTCTGGAGGCATTTTTGGTTGTCACAACTGATAAGGGTGGGAGCACCACTGGCATCTGGTGGGGAGAGGCCTGGAGATCGCTAACCATCCTGCAACACACAGCACAGCCCCACCGTGAGGAATCTTCTGGCCCTCAACATGAACCGGCTGAGGCTGAGAACCTAAGACAGAGGAGGCAGCCCTGTGGGGCTGACCCGCCACACCATCCGCACCGTGTGTCCAGGACTGAGCGAGGGCTTCTCCTTGCAGTCAGGCCACCCAGGCGCACAAGGATGCAGCCTGGCCCTCAGTGGCAGCCAGACTGACCCTGGCTCTTCAACTTGTTGACACAGAGGGGGCCACTGGCCCTCCTGAGAATCTGGTGAAAGCTGTGCACTGTTCTTACCAAACACACCTCACAGCCACAAGCTTTACATGTTCACACACAAGGGGCTCTAAGAACCAGACCCTCACTCGGCAGTAAGGGATGAGGCCGGGGAAGCCAGTGACTCCTCATGGGGCAGAAGGGCAGCTGGGTCCCCTGTGAGAAAGCCCAGTCTGGGCGGGGCCAGCCAGCAGGACCAATGGTGGGCAAGAGTCCTAAGGGGACCATAGAAGGTCTGGGGTTAGCAGGCAGTGCCTGGGCTCTGGGAAGATGAGGGGACAGCGAGTCGGAGTGCAGAGGAGCCTGTGCTTGTACCTGGGAGGCGGGGGCGGTCCTCTTCCATGACTGCTCCCAGATGACAACTCCCAGCAGAGCAGCGCTCAGAAAGAGGACAGCGCATACGTCCCCTTCCCACAGCCGTAGTCAGAGCCTCCTGCCAGCCCTGATCACAACATAAAGGGCTGGCGGTGTCTCCGGGCCTATGTGCCCTAGGCACACACACAGTCATCTCCAGACACCGCCTTGGCTGCTGGTAGAGCCTATGTGAGGGCGGTCAACACACAGCCAAACTGTAACTCTCTGCCCACCACAGGTTTCTGTGGTCTCCATGCAGCAGACATCCCTGGGAGCCCCCAGGCTGCTGGGCAGGGCTTCCTCCTCAGTTCAGATTCTCCACAGATGCTGCTTTTCCTGAGGCAGAGTGCAGCAGAGACCCTTCCTGTCACCCTACACTGACGCAGGCCTGAAACCAGAAAAGGGGCTCAGAATACTCACGGGACACAATCGGGCTGCAGCAGGAAGAAGGGAGGGGAGCCCTCCTGGAGCCATGCAGGCTGGTCAGCAATATTCAGTACATGCACTGGAGAAGGCAAAGGCCAACCAGCAGTTCAGCTGTATTCGCTGTATTAGAGTGAACTTAGTGTATCAGAGTGAATCCCAGCACTTTGGGAGGCTGAAGCAGGCGGATCACTTGAGGTCAGGAGTTTGAGACCAGCCTGGCCAACATGGCGAAACCCCATCTCTACTAAAAATACAAAAATTAGCCAGGCGTGGTGGCGCACACCTGTAATCCCACCTACTTGGGAGGCTGAGGCAGAACTGCTTGAACCCCTGGGAGGTGGAGGTTGTAGTGAACCAAGATCAGGCCACTGCACTCCAGCCTGAGTGACAGAGTGAGACTCTGGTCTCCAAAAAAAAAAAGGAAAAAAGACAAAATAAAGATTTTTCCAAATGTACAAAACTGAAGAATTCACCACCAGCAGATGTGCAGTATAAGAAATGAAGGACGGCCGGGCACGGTGGCTCAAGCCTGTAATCCCAGCACTTTGGGAGGCCGAGATGGGCGGATCACAAGGTCAGGAGATCGAGACCATTCTGGCTAACACAGTGAAACCCCGTCTCTACTAAAAGTACAAAAACTTAGCCAGGCGAGGTGGCAGGCGCCTGTAGTCCCAGCTACTCGGGAGGCTGAGGCAGGAGAATGGCGTAAACCCGGGAGGCGGAGCTTACAGTGAGCTGAGATCCGGCCACTGCACTCCAGCCTGGGTGACAGAGCGAGACTCCATCTCAAAAAAAAAAAAAAAAAAGAAATGAAGGACATACTTTAGGAATAAGGAAGACAGATCCAAGGTGAAAATCTGGTTCCATACAGTAAACTTGGGAAGAAGAAAACTTCCTCAACCTGATAAAGAATCTCAGTGGCTACAACAGCTAATATGATACTCAGTGGTAAAAGCCTGAAAGCTTCTCCTCTAAGATGGAAACAAGGAAGGGATGTAATATGTCTTGGATCTGTGTCCCCACCAAATCTCATGTCGAATTGTAATCCCCAGTGTTGGAGGAAGGGCCGGATGGGAGGTGACTGGATCATGGGGGCAGTTTCTCATGGTGTTACACCATCCCCCTTGGTCGCAACAGTGAGTTCTCATGAGATATGGTCATTTAAAAGTGTGTATCACCAGCCAGGCGTGGTGGGTCATGCCTGTAATCCCAGCAGTTTGGGAGGCCGAGGCGAATGGATCACTTGAGGTCAGGAGTTCGAGACCAGCCTGGCCAACTTGGCAAAACCCCGTCTCTACTAAAAATACAAAATTAGCCAGGCATGGTGGCGCACACCTGTAATCCCAGCTACTCAGGAGGCTGAGGCAGGAGAATCACTTGAACCTGAGAGGCGGAGGTTGTATTGAGCCAATATTCACACCACTGCACTCCAGCCTGGGAGACAGACTGAGACCCTATCTCAAAAAAAAAAAAGTATATCAAAAAACATAAAATATTCAAGAATAAATCTGGTAGATGTGCAAGACCTGTACACCAAAACCACAAAACACTGCAGGGAGAAAATTTTGAAGACATTAACAGTGTTCATGAGTCAGAAGATTCAGTATTGTTAATATGTCAGTTCTCCCAAAATTGATCTAAAAATTGAATGTAATGTCAATCAAAACCCCAAGAGGCTTTTAACAGAAATCGAGAAGCAGATTTTAAAGTTCATAAGGAAATGCAAACAACCCAGAAGAGCCAAAATTATGAAAAAGACAAAAATATTTAGATTTCCTGACTTTAACATGTAGTATAAAGCTATAGCAATGAAGACAGCGTGGAAATAGAACGATGTTACAGAACACCAGAAATAGATTCACACATACATGGTAAACAAATTTTCAACAAAGAGGAAAGATCCTAAAGTGGAGGAAGGATAATGTTTTCAAATATGATGCTGAAACAGTTGGATATCCATATGCAAAAAAAAGAACTTTGATCCATTATTGTACAACAGACCAAAAAAAATTCAAAGTGGATTGTAGATCTAAATGTGAAATCTAAAACCAAAAACTTCCTAGAAGGAAATATAGAAAAAAAAATCTTTGTGTGTGATCTTTGTAATTCTGGGTTAGACAAAGATTTTTCAGATTCAACAGCATGACTCATACAAGAAAAAACTGGTAAGTTAAGCTTCATGAAAATTAAAACTTCTGCTCCTGAAAAGACACTGTTAAGATAACCACAGACTAGAAAATATTTTCAAATCACGTATCTGATACAGAACTTCTATCTAGAATTCTTCAACTCAGTTTTTTTTTGTTTTTAATTTCACCAGGCAAAAGATGTCAACAAACACTGTCAAAGAAAAATGGATAGAAAATAAGCACATGAAAAGATGCTCAACATCAGTAGTGATTAGAGAAATGCAAATTAAACCCACAGTGAGATACTCCTACAGGCCTTACTAAGACGGCTCAAGACCGATCATACTAGCTGCTAAGGATGTGGAGAAACTGGAACCTTCATATACTACTAGGGGGAATATAAAATGGTGCACACACTTTGGAGAACAGCTTGGCAATTTCTTAAAAAGGTAAACACCTGCCATATAATCCAGCCATTCCACTCCTAGGTACTTACCCAAGAAAAGAGACAGCAGGTGTCCATACCAAGTCTTGTAAGTGAGTATTCCTCCTAGGTTTATTTATGAGAGTCAAAAACTGGAAACAACCCAAATGTCCACTGACAGATGAATGGATAAAAAAATTATGATCTATCCCTACAATGGAATCTATTTGGAGTATCATTCAGCAATAAAAAGGAATGAACTGGTGATACATGCAAAAAAATGAATCTTAAAAAAAAGGTTAAGTGAAAGAAGCCAGACACAAAAGAGGACACTGTTCCTAATTCCATTATAAGGAATTCTAGAAGAGGCCAATTACATGACAGCAGATCAGCGCTTGCCTGGGGCTGGGCCTGAGGTGGGAAAGGTGGCAAAGGGATGCAAGGGCCCCCTAGGGTGAAGAAAACACCCTAAAAAGCTGCTCTGCAACCACGTGGTGAATACTTACCAGGATTCAACGAAGAGTACACTTAACGTGAGTGAATTTTATGGTAGGTAGCTTATACCTAAATAAAGCTATTTGTAAAGTATAGTGGATAAATATGCATTTATATTTTGAATTGACTATTTTATCTATTTTTTTTAAAGGCTGGTGCCTGGACTGTTAGAAATGCAAAATGCTTGTTCCCTGGTGCCACAAAGAAATAGCACTCGAACATTAATTTTCTCAGCAAGGCAGTTTTTACTTTCTGCAGAAAGCATGCTCCTCGCAGATGGAACAATGGCAAGAGCACACCTGGACAGGGCAGGGGCAGGAGTTCTTATCCCTGAGGCAGGTAGTCCCTGCTGCTGTGTTGTTCCCCTATTGGCTAGGGTTGGACCACACAGTCTTAGCTAATTCCGATTGGCTATTTTAAAAAGAGCGGGAGTACAAGCTGGAGTGGCAGGGTGAGTAGGTTGGTAGGAAGGATGGTTAGGAACAGGTAACAGGTGACTCAGGTCAAAGCAGGTGACTGGGATGAGGCAGGACGGAGCAGGTGACCAGGGGAACGGATGTGAACTACTGATTAGGACTGGTGGGAAAGTTGTTTACTGAAACTAGAGGCAAGGGGGTGAAGAGAACCAGGAAGTTAAACTTTAAAATGGAGAATCAAAGAATAAGAAAGCTGAACAGACTGACATACTGATTCTTTGAAGAGAAACTTGGGGTTCACTATATTTAACTCTTTATTTCTACGAATCAAGTGTGCTCAGAAAATCAAAGAGGCAATAGAGAGTCTGAAAACTATGATTCTGTCTCACTATTAGAACAGGATTAGTAGGGAGAATGAGACTAACAGAATATAAACCAATTAAAATATAGAAAGAGATATTTCCTGAAGAGAAAGGCTGAAAAAAAAACTTTTAAAGATAGGTTGGATAGAAAAAGAAAAACAAGGCCAGGTGAGGTGGCTCATGCCTGTAATCCCAGCATTCTGGGAGGCCGAGGCGGGTGGATCACTTGAGGTCAGAAGTTCAAGATCAGCCTGACCAACAGGGAGAAACCCCATCTCTACTAAAAATACAAAACATTAGCCAGGCATGGTGGCGCATGCCTATAATCCCAGCTACTCAGGAGGCTGAGGCAGGAGAATCACTTGAACCTGGGTGGTGGAGGTTGCGGTAAGCCAAGATTGGGCCACTGTACTCCAGCCTGGTCAACAAGAACAAAACTCTGTCTCAAAAAAAAAAAAAAAAAAAGAAAAGAAAAGAAAAAGAAAAAGATCTGTCCTGCAGAGAAAGGTTGAATAAATTTTTTAAAAAGATAGGTTGGATAGAAAAAGAGAAACAAAGCCGGGCGCAGTGGCTCACGCGTATGATCCCAGCACTTTGGGAGGCTGAGGTGGGTGGATCACTTGAGGTCAGGAGTTCAAGACCAGCCTGGCCAACATGGTGAAACCCCGTCTCTACTAAAAATACAAAAATTAGCCCAGCATGGTGGCACATGCCTGTAATCCCAGCTACTCTGGAGGCTGAGGCAGAATTGCTTGAACCTGGGAGGCGGAGGTTGCAGTGAGCTGAGATAGCACCAATGCACTGCAGCCTGGGCGACAGGGCGAGACTCCATGGAAAGAAAGGAAGGAAGGGAGGGAGGGAGGGGAGGGGAAAGAAGGGAAGAGGAGGCGGGGAGAGGGGGAGTGGGGAGAGGGGAGGGGAAGGGAGAAAAACAAGATCTTTTGCAAAGACCAGGACAACCAAACAAAAGAGGTAAAGGGAATGCACTCAAGTCTGCCTGATGGTCCACGAGGCAGGAGACGGAGTCTCAGAGCCAGCTGGGACACTCCTCTAGAGGAGGCTTCCTGAGAGTGACGGCAGAAGGGAACCCAGGACAAGCAGCAGAGGCATGGCTCAAAGCCTGAAACTGGCAGGGA